CGCCCCAAGAGCGCCCCGAGTGGCGACGCCTTGGGCCCCCGGTGGGGCAACGCTAGTTAATGTCTCTCCCGTTTGATCGACGCCCTCCAAAGTGGCCCCAAGAGCGCTCCCAGGGCTTCCGGAAGCGATTCAAGACGGCCCCGAGAGGCGCCTATGGGGCCCAAGGGGGCCCCGACAGGCGCCCGAGAGACCTGCAAGAGGCCCCCGAGATGCCCCGAGAGGCCCCGGAACGCTTTTCGAGGCACCCAAGACGCTCTCAGAGGCGTGCTGGCCGCCAAGAGGCCCCCAAAACGCTCCGAGAGGCTTCCGCTGGGGGGCCCTTCCCATGCGCGCTGCCCACCTCCCTGATCGAGGCAATTCCTTTGGGCATCGTTTCTGGATGGGCTGGCAACGCGTGCTGTCGGCTGGCCGTGCCCCCGACCCCGCCGAACAGCGAACGGATATCGAAGATCCGACTTCGCGCCAAATTGTTGAAGAGAGGGGCGGCCTTCTACAGAGAATTGCAACGTGCCGAGCACGCCCTGGGAACCGAGACAATGCCGGTTCCTTCATTGCATGACGAAGAAACTGGCGTCGGGGAGAATCGAGTGAAGTGGCGGGCCCCAGTCTCGCGAGGAGAATCGAGGCGCCGCGCGGCTGGCCCGTTCCCCGACAATCCGCGACGGATACCGCAGCTGGACAGAGGTGACGAGTAACCCCGGATCAACGAGAGGGCGCGGGCGCGCGTTGTGGCTCGCTCGAGACCTGAGTTTTCCCAGCGGGCGCGCGCAAGTTGATGCCCATTATTCCATCGGCTGACCCCGCTTATTGGACGCGTATTTAGCCGCACTGGGGTAGAAGAGTTTGCTTGGCTGGGGTCTTTGAGTAGGGAAATGGCGAAACATCGCGCCGCTGATGTCCTCAGCTCTGGGGGGTGGGTCGAGGCGACGCGGGTCGTCGAGATGTTGATGAGCGAGGGCGTCGATCGTCCTCTCTCCTGGCTCACGCGCGCACTTAGAATTGTCTGAGAAGTCAATGCAAGCATTGGGCGTCAAGTTCGCGGGGCGACGGGCCAGCGGTGGGCGCCCGGGCCGCTAGGGAGAGAGCTGCGGGCGAGCGCTGCCTCGAGACGGGGGCGCCTCCATTACGCGGGTCAGACATCGGGCTTCCAGGCGCGAAGCCCGTCGTCTTTCGTGCCTCGTAGGGGCGAGCGGTTCAGCCTGGGCGCATGTGCCCCCTTCATCAACCAACAGAAAATGACGTGCCAACGGAGACGATGTTCTTCCTCATTGTGTCGGGCGTCATGCGATTGATGATTGATGAGATGGTTCACCCAGAGACTGGCATCAATGGGGGGCGACAGTATCGATGTGCGTCTGCGCTATCTGTCAGGTTGAACGATTTTTTCAAGACCGGGCGACCTGGCCGTGGAACGGCGGAGGACAACGCACCTTGGGATCTCTTTGTTACAGCGAGAAGGATGGACAATTTGTTGATCAACCGGGGCAGTTCCCCCGCTGGCTGCGTCCTAACGGGTGGTTCAGATCGCTATTTGCTGACAATTTGGACGCGGGGGCGTTTGATTTAGACGACCCAGAGAAACTTTCTGGTCATTATTTGGCGACAGTGGCACCTGGTATCCTCAGCAATGTTTTTTTTTTTGGGGGGGGGTCCTGCGCGTGTTGCCGCGTCAGATAAACCCGTCCCGACGGTGCCGTGGGCGGTCGTGTTCGACCAGCGATTCGGAAGATTCTGGGCCATTCCATTGTCGGACTCAGGGTGCGTCGACCACGTTAATCACGCAGAAGAGCTGTGACGCATGGCGACCTAAATGATCGACTGGCTTCGAGCGGCTTTAGGCGCAATGTGAAATTTCTCACCCGCTCTGGGAGGGCGGGTGCCTTGCATGTTCGAAGGTATGTCGCAATCGCTTGGGCGTGTTCTGCTGCTTGCGCTGCTCGCAGCCGATGCCATGCGAGCCGAGGCTCGGGGCCGCGAACGCGATTCGTCCTGCGTTTGCGTGGGGGCCTTTTGGCCTCAGGAAGTTCATGAGTCTTGAAACAGGCCCTGAGACCGGGGGCCAGGTTCCTGCGGTGATTGCGCGGCCGCCGACGTATACCGCGGGTCGCGCCACCGACAGCAACGCATAACAGTCTCAACGAAGATGGAAGGATCCGAAAATTGCAACTCAAGACAGCTTATACGTTCCAATGCATGACTGTGCTTGCGGGACCATTTGAGCCGGTCGAGCAAGGCGATGATGTAGAAGTCGAAGAAGATGGATCTGATCACGCTGCTGAGCCTGCCGAAGGCGCTGCGCCCCCCCTCGTGGAGATAATCGCCACAGACGGACCCCGTCGCCGAGGCAGGGGCAGAAACGCGTGAGGGCGAGGACTGATTCGCGCGGAGGCAAGTCACTTCGTGTTCAGAAGCGCAGCGGCAGCTATGGCCCGCCTGACCAGCCCTCCACCGCGCGTGTTCGGGCGTGGGGGCCGACGAAGTGGCGGCTAGAACAATGTATGCCATTGCGGGCATTCCGGCAGCGTGGCCCGCGCGCGACCGGCATAATTCACGCGAGCGACTGGCGCGCGTCGCCTGGCGCGCCCCCGCGGCGCCGGGTCGAGCCGCGGCCGATTGGGATCTGGGGCTGGTTTGGCGAGCCCGCTGCGGCGCTGACGCCCGCGCCGCCTACGCCGGCTGCTTCGGCGGCCGCCGCGGCCGCGGGGAATCCGCTGCGCCGCGGCATCGCGTCTAGAGCCAGTGGTGGCAGGGCGAAGCAGTGTCTTCGCGAGCCCTCTGGCGCGCCGATGCAGCTGGCCGCCGGGCGCGCTGGTCGCCCTCGTCGAGCAGGGCTGGCTGGCAGGCCCGCCGCGGCGACCGGGGTCGGGATGCGCGGCGGCGATCAGCGGTGGAAGAGCGACCGCTCAGGTGGCGGGCATGGGCGACAGGCTGAGGCGATGTCTCTGCCAGAGCCAGCCCCTGCGGAGCACGGATATGAATCGCGGGCGCGCCGAGGTCATTGTTTGGCCGCTGGCCTTGTGAGTTGATGGCTGGGCGGCGCGCGCCTCCAATTCTTCCCTTGGGCGGGGCGTCGGGGGGCCCTCGACGCGCCCCATTGTGCAGTGACAGGAACGCCCCCTTCCCTGCCGCCTTCGCCGCATAATGTTTTTTTCGGAGTTGGCGCGGCGGGGGGCCCGGGGGGGGCGGGGTGGGGTCTTGCCGACGCTCTCGGGACTTGCTGAAGGCTGTTCGGCATGCGCCGCCTCTTCTTCTCGGGATGTCAGCCGCAGTGCGCTGACGCCCACCCTGGCGCGACGATGTCGCGCGAGGTGCCCGCGGGGGGAGTCGTTACTGACGCCTCCCTCGCCACTGTACACAGCCCTCCACTCTTCCCCCTGCGGGGCGTAGGTAGGGCACGGATCGTCCGCAGGGGCTGTCTCCGCAGCTGTGATAGCTACTCGAACAAAATCGCGCTTGCCGGCCAGCCGGGCGGGCCTGCCGCGCGCGCATGCGGATGCATAGTTCTTTGCTTAGAGTAGTTCCGCTTAACGGCCTTACTTGGCCATGTACTCACCATCTCGTTGCGGGTTGTTAGCTTCTCGTTGGCCACTAGCAGAGTACTTTCAAAAAGCAAAACCACCCATCAATACCAATGCACGTTTGCCTAATACGACGATGGGTATGGACACTTTTCCACCTTTCTGCGTCTTCAGTTGAAATAGCCAGCTTCGGTCATCCGTGGGAGAACCGATGGAAGCGGACGAGCACCTGCACAGTGCGCGTCCGAGTGGAGTGGAAGTGGCCTCGGATATTTCTCATTTGGCATGCTCTGCAGGTCTAGGTCTAGATGCTTGCTTAGGTCTGTCGCAAACGCGCCAACTTTATCTGATGTGAGTGGTGGGATCGAGAAGGAACGGAGAGCCCCCCGCCGGGGAATTGGTTCTTGTTTCGGGTCTGTGTCGCGCGCGCGTGGGAGGCGAAGCTGCACTCTTTGGTTGGGGCGCGGCGTGGACATATGTCCGCCCCCTGGCCGAGTGGCGGGCGGGAGCCCGAAGTGTGCCGCCGTGGTGTCCCGATGATGTCCCGTGGTGTCCCGCGGTGTCCCGCGGTGTTTCGATTGGTGTCCCGATGGTGTCTTAAGGTTGTGTCAATGGTGTCCCGCGGTGTCCCGCTGTGGTGTACCGATGGTGTCCCGCGTTGTCCCGTGGTGTCCCGCCGTGGTGTCCTGTGGTGTCCTGTGGTGTCCTGTGGTGTCCCGTGGTTCCTGTTTTATCGATTCTCATATCGATAGTAAGATTCGATCGTGCGGTCGATAGTGCATTCGACAGTGATATCGATAATGATATCGGTAAGGATATCAATCGTGAGTTCGATGGTGAGGTTGATCGTCATACCGATCGTGATATCGATCGTGTGACCGATGGTGGTATCGATAGAGAGATCGGTCGTGATATCGATAGCGAGATCGATGGTACTGCCGATTGCCCGGTTGTTAATGAAACGAGTAATCAGGTCGACAGTGAGATCGATAGTGGGGGGATCGTGAGGTCGATTTTGCGGTCGATTGTGCGATCGATGAAGATATCGATAGTGATACCGATGGTGAGAATGATAGTGAGATCGATTGTGAAATCGATGGTGCACTCGCTAGTGATATCGATTGTGGTACCGATAGTAAGGTCGATTGAATGAGACGTTGGTTCCCTTCCCGAAACCCCTCATCTCCCGTCGGGTGTGGTCGTGTAGGTATGATTACGAGGCCTGTCTGCTTGCGTGCTCCCATTGCATTTTCCCCCTCTCTATTATTTATTTATCTTCTTTTCTCTCTCTCCTCTCTCTGTCGCTCTCTCTCTCTCTCTCTCTTTCCCTGCCCTTATATTGTGCTGACTTCGAGAGTGCGTGTTCTGCGCCACTGTTTGCCAGTCCCCGCCTCGTGCGAGGCCAGTCTTGATTCATGGTGTAGCCATCTGATGTGACTAGTGTCTCTGTTTCGCGCTGCACCGCGATGTGCCGCTCCGGAGGACTACAGAAGCAGACTCAGACTTGAGGACATTTTTGTCTGCCGCAATCGTTCTCGCTTTTGTTGTCTGACTGCAGAAGTCCATCAATGCCTTCCAGTGTTTTTGGGGATCATCTGGGATGGCCACTGCTTGCCGCGTCCGGACATCTATTCACATTTTGGCACCGCTTCTCGATTCGTGTTTTCGCTTCGAATGTGTAAGATGCAACCCTGAAGTTGAAGATTTGTCGGGAGATTTCGTGCTGCCTGCATTAGTAACCAGGTGATTCTGACATCACTCTGCAGGAGTATGAGGAGCAGCGACCAGAAGATAAGGAGGTCGTCTATCCTTCGAGTCGACGGGCGCGGCCGCGAGTGTTGTTCGGCGGTGCTCACTGGGATGAGCACAGTCAGACGTGTAAGTAGTTAGGATGCAGAGCTCCAGCGCGGCTTCCCTTTCATCCTTGCCTCCCCGGCCCATCGTTGGCCTGCTTTGTCTTGATTTTGTGGGCTCGACGGCGATTCCGATGGTTCAACTTTTTCTGTAAACGAAAGATGCGTATGTATGTAAGGTGTCATCATTGTGTCAAGTCGCGCAGCAAGTTTGAGCGACATCCAGGGTTACCCCTGCATCCCATCCCATTCGGGCCATCCATGGCCACATTCCCTGGCCGTGCCCCGCTCGCAAAGTTGCGGCACAGCCTTCAAGTTCCAGGCCCCTTGCACCCTTATCGTGCGTCCTTATGGTGCGGGATATCTGAATTGTAGTGTAGTGCGAGGTGCTTCACTGGAATTTAATGTAGCGCGATGTAAGTTGGCGCATTGTAGAATAGTTCGATGTGGTGCAATGCAATATTATGCGATGTAATGCGCTGTGACGTGGTGTAATGTAATGTAAGCTAATGTGAGGAATATAATGTATGTATGCATGCATGTGTACATTCATGTTTTTTTGTATGGATATATACATATATGCACTATAATGTTTGATCACATTATATGATCAAGATGTGTACACGTACTTCTGTCTGCATGTATGTGCGTATGAAAACGATCATGGTTGCAGACACCCATGTATGTGTGTATGCCAGTATCCGCGTATGTATGTGCACACTCGATTTCCCGTGGTGCACGTACGCATGTGTGTGACGTGTGTATGGTTGTTTGTATGTGTGTGTGTGCTTGTAAGGTGTGTATGTACTTTCTTGTAATTTCCTCCAACGCATGGTAGCATATATGTATCGTGTGTAAGGTATTGGAATTTAGTGCATGTGATGCGCTGTAATGCAGCATGTAAAGTAGCTTTGTGTAATGCGATGTAATGTAATGACGTGCAATGTGATGCATTGTATGTAGCGCATGGTACGCACGCATGCGTGCATGTATGTATGTATGCATGCATGTATGCATACTTGCACTTATGTATGTAAGTGTGACTTTATGCAGACACGTGCGTATGCCTGAGTGTGCGTACGCATGTATGCATGTACGTATGAATGTAGATTTGCATGTGTGTATGCATGTAAATATATGTATGTATGTAGTTGTACATGTATGTATGTAAATATATGGAAAAGTTTGTGTCATACGTTCACATGATTCGAAACTAGGTGTGTCGATACTTGTATGTATGCATTCATGTACGTAAATATGCACGTGCGCCTGCATGTATGTATGCATGTATGTATGTATGTATGTATGTATGTATGTACGTACGTATGTATGTATGTATGTATGTATGTATGTATGTTTATAACTGTATGTAATGTTATTCGTTATTCTTCTTCCATGCTTCTTTTTCCTTATTCTCGCCATACCTTGCGCATTCTCCCTATCCTCCTCAACTCTTTTTGCTGAGGCTCCTCCTTGGAGAGCCTGTGGGGGCCTCACACAAGTTTTTCAGGCTTTCTTAAAGCCTTCTGGAGGCCTCGTGGACGTGTTCTGGGGGCCTCTGGGGGCTTCCTCGGGCCACCCTGCCTCCAACCGCGGTCTCCCTGAACGACCGGGTCACGATTTGGAATGCTTCGGAGGGTGTCTTGGGGCCATCTTGGGCCGCCATGGGGCTCTTGGAGGGCCATCTTGCGGCGTTTGTCATTAAACTGACCCGAGTCTCGGTGTCGCAACAAAATTTCCAGAAATCTGTTGCGAACCCAGGATTAGGTGCATTCCCCAAGAATTATTAATTTTTGCGTACTGCGCTGCGACCCGCTGCAACATGACATCTTTGGCTTGGCATTCTGTTGTACTTTGCGGCGTTGCTTGACATGGCGTCGATTTTGCTTGGCATTCATTCGCGTGGCTTGTCATTCCTTCGCATTGCGCACCGGGGCACGAGCGGGCAGTGTGCGGGCCTACGAAGGCCTTTCGTCGCCATCCACTGCCAAACATGTCTGCAAACGTGTACGTACACATGAACCCGTAGCCGTTGGTTTCTGGACAGCGCTCCTCGGTGCGGCACAACCGAAATTCTTCGCCGTCCCCCGACGGCGCCATCTCTTTCCCTCTTCCTGCTCCTCCTCTGGGACTCCTCCTCCTCCTCTTCCTCCTCCTCCTCCTCCTCCTCCCCTTTTTGCCTCTCCATCACTCGTTCTCCCCCACATCCGCTTCCCTCTCCTCGCTCCTCAAGGTTCCCTCCGTCCCATCCTTCGACCTCCACCTAGCGCTTTTCGAGAGCCCCGGAGGCCCCGAAAACTCAGAACTTTCGAAGACTTCCGAAAACCACCGCAGGGAAGGGGCCAAGTTTCCAAGGTCAACAACATAAGTAAAGCCTCTAGGACCAAGGTGCATGGCACGAAACGCCAATGCAGTGTTTTTTTGTTTATTTTTTGTTATATATATATATACATACACACCGCAGACCGTAACCGTTTTGGCTCAAGCCCGGAGTGTTTGGCTGAGGGATTGTATTTAGGGGTCGCGGCCCACGAACTCACCAGAGTGACCCCGCGTGCTCAGGATACCATGTTTGCATATGACGCTCACTGCACATCTCCATCAGGAGGTACTGAGGCTTCACCCATCGCACTTTGGCAGCCACCAGTTACGTTCCCGCTTCGCTTCCACCCCGCTGGGGGCGTGCCAGACGGCGTCTCTTTTCGGCCGCATCAAGGATCTCGTGGCGCAGGGCACTCCCATGGAACCGAAGGCCGCGCACGGCGCCCAGGTGCCCCTTGGGTAGGCCGACGACGCCCCTGAGGAGAAGCTTCCTCGGCTGGATCCTCCTGCTCGTGCGGATTGCGGATGGCGATCCATGGCCACAAGGTCCTGATCCGTGGTCTGAGCCTGGCGCTGCTGAGGGGGCGCCTCGCTCCCAGCCCGCTGGTGATGCAGGTGCCGCGCCCGCTGGAGCTGCTGCGCTCCACGCTCCACGTCTCTCGCCGCCACCACGGCTGGTGCCATCTGGGCCCTTGCCAAAGCGCAAGAAGCTAGACGTGAGCAGGTTTCAGCGCACCTCGCAGACCTCGACAAAAAGGGCTCGCCAAAGTCGATCACGACCAGACGGCCATGCGAGAACATATCGAGGTCATGCAGCGGGTGCTTGCTGTTATCGAAGCTGCACCACATGTGCAAGACGTTGAGGACGTCACGAGTTGGACCAGATACCCTTAAAATACCGTCCTCATCATATCGAGCAAGGAGCCCTGCACCGCGGATGCCATCTCCAATTCTATCTCCAGCTGGCTCGGCGACGCCAAACTCGACCCCGACCACTGGGCAATCGAAGGCCCCAGCCCTGGCCGTCTGTTCGTGCTCGGGATGGCTGGGGCTGCGGGCCTCGCTGCCAATAGTGGTCTCTGGCCAGTGCCGCCGACTCAAGGGGTTTTGGAGTCGGTGATCTTGGAGTCGTCGGGGACGCGGTCTGGGAGGGAGGGCGCTGCATGGGAGACGCTGTTTCGTCGGGGACGCTGTTTGGGAGGTCGATCGGGCGGGCTACCCTCGCGCGTTTTCGCCGTCAGGGCCCCCCGCCTGTGCCGCCAGCTGGGGATCTGCGTGGCCGCGGAGAACCCGCTCCGCATTGGCCTGTGGGACTGGCGCCCGTTCGCCTCGGAGCTCGGGCGCAGCGGCCGTCAGCTCGTCGACTTCGAGATGTGCGGCTGCGACGCGGCATGGTGGAAGCCAGCCCGCGCGGGCGCCAGTTTCCCTGGCGCCGAGGTGCTCGCCCGCACCTGTCCGGGCCGTCGAGAGCACGTCATCCTGAAAGGCAAGGTCGGTGGCCCCGCGCAGCCCGCGAGGTGGCGCACCTCACTCGCAGGAGCTAGCCCGCCCAAGCTGCGTCGCCAGGTCGCGCGGGCGGCTGCTGGAGCTGCTCCTGCTTGCGCCTGACGTCGGCGCGGCGAGGGGTGGCTTGCCGATTGGCGGGGGGACCAGCTGCTGGACTTCGCCGGCTGAGCGGGGCCCTGCCCGCGCCCCCAGCGCGCGGCGCCCGCGCGCTTCCCGCAGGGCGCCGCCCTCGGCTGGGGGGGCTGCTCGAGGCGCTGCATGGGGCGGGCGGCCTATTCGGAGGGAGCTACGCGTCCTCGCCGACGCCCGTGCCCGCGATCGCGCCCGCAAGGCGTAAGCGGCTAAGGGCGCCCAGCGCGGCCGACGCGAACCTGGGCTTCTTGCGTCGCGCCGCAGTCGCGACCGAGGCGCGGGGCACCTAAGAGAGGGCCTTCAACCTTGTGAAGCAGTTCGCGGCGGGCCGAGGCCTCTCCCCCCGCGCCATGGACGAGTGGGGCGCCATCCTCCACGACTACCTGGAGATGGAGTCACTGCAGGGCGGGTCGACCGCCGTCGGTCGGGCCTCCCACTGGCGGCGCGGCCTGGATGCTCGACTTCGTCACTCGCAACCCCGCGGCCCTCTCCTTGTTCAAGAGGGCGCTGAAAAAGTTCGCGTTCATTAGGCCCGACTTCTACGCGCGACCCCCCGTCCGCAGAGGCCGTTTGGGCCGTCGTCGGACGGCTGCTGCCGGCCGAAGCGCTGGACCGTAACCTGGCCCGCTCGCGGCTTTCGACGCGCGCCCGCGGCCGTCGAAGCTGGCGGAGACGACGGGGGCGCAGGCCATCCGCCCGAAGCCTGGGGTTCGGAGTCGAAGCTGGGCTCTGGTCGTGGTTCCAGAGGGCGGCGCGCCCGCTGAGAACGAGCAGTTCGATCAGGGGGCGATCCTAGGCGCCCACGGCCGGGGCTCTGCCGCCGACGTCGTCAGGGAGCCGGCTGTCAGGGCGGGCCCAGCGACCGCGCCTTTGCTGCACCTCTCGCTTGCAAAGGTCGAGCAGATCTTCCGCAGATGCGGCCGCGTCGACGGCGCGCGCCTCGCCCCGCGCCGTCGCGTGACATGCAGTGCAGCAGCTCGACGCTTGACGCCGTGATGATGCGAGACGATGGTCGGTGGTCAATCCGGTCCGCCGGTATGTCGAGCCGGCCGAGCTCCTCCGTCAGCTCGCGAAGCTCGATCGGTCCGCGGTGACTGAGGCCCCTCGCCGTGCCGCACGTTTGCCGTCGGAGGTGTGCCGCCGTTTTAAGGAGCGGCTCCCTCGGTAAATCGTCATCCCTCATTCCTCTTCCTCCTGCCTGTCTTGCCGCTGCCGTGGCAGGGTCGTCTCTGCGCCCCACGGCGGTGCCACTCCCTCGGCTTCTGGACTCTTTTCCTCGTTTTGTTTTGGGTTCTGTCCCAGGACACGATTTCGCATAATATCGGCGTATCACCAATTTTGGACAGTGATGCGCGTGTCAGAATGACTCGTCTGAGGTGGCCTTGTCGGGCCCTAGGTACTTCACCACCCGTCGTGGCGCTTGCATGGTATGCCGATCGGGGCATCACAAAGACATCGATCTTCGCTCTGGTGTTTTATCCGTGTCTGTATCGGACCGCAGCTCGCTCTCCTTCTTCCGTCCCCGCCGCCGCCTTGTGTTGTTGGTCGGTCGGGCCTGCGCACCCGACCTCCTTCCAATTTCTTATGTGTCGAGTTGAGGTGGAGTGTCGCTGTCCTGGGGCAGTGACGTACGTGTTTGAATGACTCGTTTGACGTGGCCCTGCCGGGCCCAACGGAATTTCGCCACGGCGTGGCGCTGGCATGGGATACCGATCGGGGCAGTGAAAAGACACCGGTGAGTTTTGCAGCATTCAAAATCGAGAACTCGAAGGGACCTGAGGACACTCCAACTCGTGTTGCAGGGCACGTTGGCGGATGTTACACAAAAAAGAGATGCAGGGTGCAGTTGGCAGCGCAGGGTTTTGCCCTGATTTTTTTGTGGGCGTTTCAGCCAGGGCCTCACCCTATGAGGTGTCGAGGGGGTGATGTTTCGCCCTCGGCGCTCGCCGGCGGAAGTAACAACACGGGGCGTTTTTGCTGGCGGAAGTTCGGCAGGAGCTCGGTTGGAAGTCGGGGGGGAGACCCGCAAGAGAGGACAACGCTGGTGTACCCAGACATGAGATGCCGTGTTCTGTTTCCACGACGTTGGCCCCCGGAGCTCCCGACCCCATATGATTTTGAAACCCCGGTCGAGGATCAGTTCTCCCTAGCATCGCCGCAGGATCGCAGTTGTACGAACCATGCTTGGACGACGAATCGCCGCATGATCCCGGCGTTCTGTGCTGCCCGGCATCGAAAGGGTCAGCTGGCAGAGGTCTGGATTGCCGTGGCCTGCCTTGGTGCCCCCGTGCCCCCGTGGGCGGCGTAGGCTGCGGCGCCGCGCGGCGCCAGGGCGCGCCGCACGGTAGGACGACATCACCGCCCAGTCGTCCCAGACCTCCCTGGACCTGATAGAGGATCGCGGGGGGTGGGTCTGCGAGAACATGCCACCTCGAGGTTCCAGGGCTCCATGGCCGAGGGTTTGAGTTTTCTCTAGTTCGCCACTTTTGGGGGCGCCCGGAGGTGCTCCCGCGACCACGGCTGGATTCTTTTAGAATTTGTTTACACAGCGCACCACAGGACAGGGATTCGAAGGGTTTGTACATCCCACCGTCGCAAGAAATAGCGCGATTTCCATGTTTGTCGTATGTTCGGCCCGCTTTTGTGCCCGGGGTCACTACGTGAGAAAACGACTCACGAGTCTCTCCTTGACGCTCCCGACGTCGGAGGAGAGGGTACCTACCCGTTTGTGGGATTCCTGTGAGCGGGCTAATCGGCTTTTTCTTTTTATTTTTGCCTCGGACTTGGATCTCAAAGCTGATGAGTTCGCAACCGATGCTGGCGCAAAGATGACAAGTGGATGCAGAAACAGAGAGGAAGAGACTTATGTTCCCTCCCGAGGGCCTTCCCTCCTCCTCCTTCCCCCCCCGTCGTTCTCCTCCGCTGCTCCTCCTTCTCATTCACTCTTCTTTAGTCAAAATGCAACACTCAGGAGGAAAAGAAACACACAGACACAATTAATCCTCGATTCCCCAGAAAATATGGGAAAATATGGGAAGTGGGGGGGAAGACAGAAACCCAGAAAATATGGGAAAATATGGGGGATATTTTTATTTGTGTGTATTTATTTGTGTGTCCCAGTTCCCCTTCAAACACAGCAGTACAAACATGACTGCTTTCGGAAAGCCGCGCGCGTACTTTTTGTTGGTCGGCGCGGGACCCCCCGTCACCGCGACTCCTGGCGGCGCCTCTGGCGCCGCCCCCCCGGCGCTCTCCGAGGACAGGGGGGCCCACCGTCGACCCGAGAGGAGATCCGCGGGGACGTGCTGCGGCTGCTGTTTTTGGTACGTTTGGTTCTCCTCCTTCAGGAGGGGAAGAAACACACAGACACAATTAATCGGCGATTCCCAGAAAATATGGGAAAATATGGGAAGTGGGGGGGAAGACAAAAACCCAGAAAATATGGGAAAATATGGGGGATAATTTTATTTGTGTGTATTTATTTGTGTGTCCCAGTTCCCCTTCATTTTGGTACGTTTGTTTCTCCTCCTGGCCCCCACCCTGGGGATGCGAGTGTGCCTCCAGGCTCTTTGGGCGTCGCGACACGGCCGCGACGGCAGGTGCTGCTTCCGTCTCGGCCTCCTGGAGGGGCCGTGGAGCTCCAGAGGCCTGCGCCTCGGCAGAGCCACGGCGTCGGAGGCCCAGGGCCCAGACGTCCGCGACTCGGTTCGCTCGGCCACGGCATGCACCGCATTCGGCTGCGTTCGGGGCGTGTTCGGTTCGGCATGCTGTTGTGCCGCTGCGTCCTTCTCGGCTGGTAGGTGCCGGCCGATTTCGGTCTGATTCGATTTCGTTGTCGGCTCGGTTAGGCTTAAACGGTTTTGCTGTCGCAATGGGCTTGTATGGGATGGGGCGAGTGACAGGGATAGAGCCTGAGAGAGAGAATCATATGTGTATATATATGTATGTTTATAAACGCATCGATCGAGAGAGAATGAGAGAGAGAGTGTGTGAGAGAGAGAGAGAGAGAGAGCGGGAGGATCAGATGTAAAGATGGTGACGTTGAGAGCGAATTCGAAAGTAGGATGAAGTCGGGCAGGGTCCTGTACAGGAGGAAAATACAAACATAGTCAAACAAATAGTCTGGTGATGATGTTTTGGATTGGTTCCCGTTTTTGTTGTTTCACTTTTCGGTCAAAACCCGCCTGTAGGAGGACATGCCCGACCTAAAAGTAGGAGTCGAAGTCAGCGATCGAGAGTGATGCCAAAGACGAGCGTGTGAGTGAGACCGGAGACTGAGAGTGAGAGGGAGGGCATGCGTGTTTCGGAGTTCACGTGCCCAGTCAGGGCGGGCTCCATGACCGAGCACACTTCGCCCAAAGCGGAGCGGCGGCCCAACGTGCTCAGCCAGGCCGCAGGCTGCCCTCCGATGTCTCGGATACCTTGGCCAGCCTGATCAGCAGAGATGAGGCCGCGTACCACCGCGCTCTGTGGACGTGCGCGCGTGTGCGCGTGCGTGCGTGTGTGCGTGCACGCGCGTGTGGGCGCTCTCGCGCGCGTGTACGCGGGCGTGTGCGCGCGCGCTCGTCCTCTTCCACCCCCTGGTCTGGCGGAGGACTACCTTGACGACCAGAAGCCCTTCCACGAGGTGATGCGGCTGCTCTGCCTCTACTCGCTGGTCAACAGCGGCGTGAGGCCGAAGCAGCTGGACCAGATCAAGAAAGGGATCATCCAGTCCTACGGTTTTGAGCACCTGCTCACCATATCCAACATGCAGCGCGTCGGCCTCCTGCGCTACCAGCAGGGCAAGTCCGTCTGGCCCCAGATAAAGAGGCAGTTCGGCCTTTTCGTAGAGGACGCGCAGGCGGAGCTGGACATCAGCTACGCCTACAGCGGCTACGCCCCCCTCAGCGTTCGCCTGGTGCAGATGACCAAGAGCCAGCCTAAGGGCTGGAAGGACTCCGTGAGCCTGCTGTACGGGCCCGCGCAGGTCCAGCAGCAGCAGCCAGACCAGGTGCACGCCGCCGCCGAGCCGAAGGAGGCCGGCACCCACGCCGTGGTGCTCGTGTGTTTCTTGGGCGGCGTCACGTACGGCGAGCTGGCAGCCTTGCGGAGGCTGAGCGAGCTGGAGGGCGGCGAGCGGAAGTTCCTCGTCGTCACCACCGAGCTCCTCAACGCGAAGAAGCTGTTCGACTCGCTGCGGTGCGATGAGGTGTTCAAGCAGCCGCTGGTGGCCGCCGCGCGGCCAGCGCCGAAAGAGGAGCGGAGAGGGTTCGGCTTCTGGCCCGGCGGCCGCTGACCCGGAGCTTGCCAGCGCCGGCGCTGGCGCTGACGTGCGCCCGCTGATCTGGCGCTGGCGCTGTCTGGCGCTGGCCATCGCTGGCGCTCGCTGGCGCCGACGACTGGCGGCCGGCAGCACGGTGCGCTGGCGCTCGCTGGCTGGCGCTGGCGCCTGCTCGGCTTCAGCACCAGCGCTGACCCGGCCCGCCCCGCCGCGCTCGCGGCGCCGACGCCGCGGTTCCGAAATGCGGCGGGTGCGCCGCAAGCAGGTGCTTCCTTGGTAGCAATTGTCATGGGAGCTTTGAGTATCTTTGTAATACCGTCTTCATAGTACACTCGCGTCGAGTAGCGTCTGGTAATCGATAAGATTTCGCCGATTAGCGTCGATGAGCGTCGATTTAGCGTCGATTAGCTTCGATTCGCAAGAGCCAACATTATGATATGGGAGGCTCCCGTGAGTTGCCGCAGAAGGGGCTTCGGGCTGCGGGGCGGGGGCGTCATTCTCCGCCGTTCGCCGCAAAGGAACCGGGTCCAGAGGGAACGGGTATTGAGGTTTTTGAACCTTTTCGGGTTTCCGGGGCCCTCCGTGTGCCCCAGGACCGTCGGAACGCGGCTCAGGATGAAGAACTGGTCCTGGGGGAAGGCCCCGGGGTCCAGGACCCGTTTCCCTCATGACCCGTTTTCCTCATGCAATGTCGTCGTTGTCCGCCACAGCAACGCATGAGCATATGATGTCCTCGGTGCTGTGTGTAGAGGGGGGTGGGGCTAATTGCTTTCGCAGGGAATTGCAGAGATCCGAGGCGGATACTTATGTATAACCACCGCCTGGGGGATCGATTTTCGGGGACCTCGTCAGGCGGTGGGCACGGATACATTCCGACCCCCTGATTACCATACTCACCGCCGGCTAGGGGGACCAGGACGTTGATTCTTCAAGCCGTGGACATGGACGCATCCCCACCTCTCAAGAACGTATCAACGGGGAACCGCAGCACTTGCACGGCGGCGGAACCCCGGCGGGCCCGCGCCCGGGGCCCTCGTCCTCTCGCCTCGCGACCGTGGGCAGGCCTCTGCGAGCTGAGGCGCCGCCTTTCCTTCCTTGCTGGTGCTCGGGGGGCTCGAGCTTGGCCAAGGCAAGCTCCACGTATGCTCCGTCCCGTGAGCCTGCGTGCGGGGACTGCTCGCGCGAGAGCACGAGCGTCCGTGTGATCCCGTGCGCTCGATCGGAAAGCCGCGCCCGTGGCTGCCCCCCCCCCCACCTAGCATCAGAGCTGGTGACGCTGCCTGTCAGGCAGGATCGGCATCGCCTGGTCGTTTCCCATCCCCACTGGGCCACGGCATCTCAGACCCACCTGTCTCGGCCCCCAGTTGGGGAGGGGATAGCTCCGGCGAAATCCGACGGGAGCAGCGTACATCCCCATCTGGGGCGGGGGGGTAAATCGGCCACTGGGGTCAAGGCCATGCCGGTGGGGACGGGAATCTGTGCAAAGCTATACTAGGAGGATGGGGGGGAGGGCGCAGAGGGAGAACGCCCGGTGCCCCCGTTGAGCCCCGGGTAGGGCCTCTCCCCACACACAAAGAAGGGCCCACATCGGCCGGCGCGGCGGGAGGCCCATCCCCCGCTCCACCCCCCCGGCAGGCGCCGCAGGCGCAGTGGACCCGTACGGGCCTGGCCACGGTCAGCCTGACCTCCTTCATCCTTCCTCCCTGTCTCCTCTTCGCCACCCCTGAGCCCAACGAAGGCCGGAGGTTCCCTGCTGGCCTTCCTCGTCCTTGCCCTCCCTCCTCCTCCCCGCCACAGACAGAGGAGGACCAAGCCCTCCCCCCTGGTTGCCGCCGCTGGCGCCGCGGACCCACCCAGGGCGGCCAGTCCAGAGCTAGACTTAGCATCTAGACCTGGGCGCCGCAAACAGGAGCTGGGGCCGCCAGCTTTTCTACATTTTCGGATTCTGGGCGCCGTCTCTCGACCTCCGACCTTGGGACTGTCAACGTTATGTTCGGGATGAGCCACGCCTTGAGAAAGGGGTCGAGGTCCCCTGGAGCCCGCGCCACAGAATAAATGCGACGTTGGAGAGATGGGCCAGACAGCCTTCCTCCTCCTTTGCCCCTCCTCCCCAGTTCGCGCGGGGCCTTGAAAGGGTCCAGAATTCCTGTGGCCGCCCTCACGGCCGAGTCTGGCTGCCAATGCAATATCAGCCCCCCCCCCTCTTTGAACTGCGGTACCGCTGTGCCTTGCACCCTGGCCCCGCGCTGGGCAAGGCTCTTGCCTGACTGGGTGCCCGTCGTGGTCTGTCCCTCCTTCTAATTCTACGTTGCAAGATCTTTACGCGAGCGCCCGCGGCGAGGTCGAGTTCCAGAGCAAGTTCTACAACAGCGGCGGAGAAGGCGGCGTGAAGTTCACGCCCTTCGACCTGAGGAACGTGCCGCGCGGCTCCCGTCGGCGTGGGCGCTGTGTTAGGGGAACGCAAAGTGTCATAAACATAATAACTCGGAGGTCCGCGCGGAGTTCTCGGATCGGCGCTGGCCCCCCCCTCTGGCGCGCAGAGCGCGTCAGCGGCGGCGCCGGAGGCGCCGCCGGGGGGCCCCAGCGCCGATCCGAGGACTCCGCGCGGACCTCCGAGTTTTTATGTTTATGCCACTTTCTGTTCCCTTACGTGCGGGTGGGCGGGCGGGAGGGGCGGAACAGCCCAGACGCGGATCGGAGGGCCGCTCTGGGCTCCGGCGGGGCTCCGGTCTGCGGGCCGATGGGGGCCCGCCCGTGGCCCAGGCTCGCCCCGTGTGCTCCCGGCCTGGCGGCTCTCACGGCAGCGCTGCAGCAGAGAGGACGGCACCCTCGCAGGCCTTCGGAGAAGGGGGCCACGCGCGAGCCCTCCTCCCCCTCCTAATTAAGCCCCCCCGAGATGTCTGGGGGGGAGGGTTTGGGTTCACTTCGCTCGGGAGCTCCCGAGCGAAGAGGACCCAAACCCTCCCCTCAGAGCTCGTGGGGGGGGGTAGGGTTCGCGTGCGGCCCCCTCTCGGAGGTCCGCGCGGCCTTCTCGGGTCGGCTGCGCGCTGGGCCCCCACCGGTGGCGCCTCGGGCGCCGCCCAGGGCGCGCTGCGCGCGCCAGAGGGGCCCATCGACCACCCAAGAAATTCGCGTTGACCTCCGACTGGTGCCCTTTTGAGCCACGGGGGCGGTGGGCGACTCTTTTCGGGGCGCCGTTCGGGGCGCTGCGGGGCCAGGCCCACGATCACACCATGCCAGCCTTCCCATGCCCCCAGGAGGCCCAGAGAGGCCCCGACGAGGCGCCTCTAGGTTCCAAGAGACCCCCCAAGAGTCACCAAGAGCCCCCCAAGCCGTCCGAAAGAAGCCCCAAGAAGCCCCAAAACGGCCCCCAAGAGGCTTCGCCGCCACCCTCGACGAGGTTCCCGAGAGGCTTCCCACGAGGTACCAACGAACACCCAAGACGCCTCTCACACACGGCCCAGGCACCGTTGCGGAATGGTCCGAAGGTAATTATGTAGGCCACGATATACACAGACACCCATACATACATACGAAAGAGCGCGTTCTGTGGTCGCTTGGAGCGGGGGGGTGAAACCGGACCCTTTTCCCTTGGATGGAGGGGGGGGGGCGACCCCTCCCCCCTTCCTCCCCTGCTTCCACTTTCCTCGGGCCGGCGCTTGCGTCGGCGGCGGCTGGCGGCGGCGGCGGGGGCGACGATTTCCTTTTCTGGGCCGGCGCCGGCGCCTGCGGCGGCGGGCGGCGGCGGCGGGGAGCGTCGACGCGGACGACTCAGAGGCGACGATAGGGGCGAATAGTCCAAGGGAGAGCAATACATGTATTCAGGTGCGCCGATGATCTACGCTTTCGAAAAGGCTCCCGGGCGAATGCGTGTAATACCCGCCCCTGGGCTATTCGCCCACATCGTCGCCGCCGATCGACGGTGGTGGTTGTGGTGTTGGGTTGTGGTGGTGGTGGGTGCGGTGGTGGTCGTTGTGGTGGTGGTGTTGTGGTGGTTTGTTGTGGTGGTGGTGGTTGTGGTGATGGGTGGTGGTGGTGGTGGTGGTGGTGGTTTGGTGGTGGTGTGGTGGTGGTTTGTGGTGGTTGTGGTGGTGGGTTGTGGTGGTGGTGGTGGTTTGGTGGTGGTGTGGTGGTGGTTTGTGGTGGTGGTGGTTTGTGGGGGCGGCGGTGGTTTGTGGAGGTGGTGCTGATGGTGGGTGGTAGTGGTGGCGGTGGTGGTGGTGGTGGTGTGGTGGTTTGTGGTGGTGGCGGTGGGTCGTGCTGCTAGTAGCGGTGGTGGTTGTGGCGGTGGTTTGGTGGTGTGGTAGATTGTGGTGGTGGTGGTGGTAGTGGTGGTGGGTTTTTGTGGTTGTGGTGGTGGTGATGGTGAGTTGTGGTGGTGGTGGCTCTGGTGGTGTGGTGTTGTGGTGGTGGTTTGTGGTGGTGGTTTGTGGTGGTGGTGGTGGTGGTGGGTTGTGGTGGCGGCGGTGGTTTGTGGACGTGGTGCTGGTGGTGGTGGTGGTGGCGGTGGCGGTGGTGGTGGTGGTGTGGTGGTTTGTGGTGGTGGCGGTGGGTTGTGCTGCTACTAGTGGTGGTGGTTGTGGCGGTGGTGGTGGTGTGGTAGACTGTGGTGGTGGTGGTAGTGGTGGTGGGTTTTTGTGGTGGTCGCGGTGGCGCCGGCGCCGGGGGGGGAGGGGGGGGGTTGGGGGGGAGGGGAGCCCCCCTGATTTTGATCAACGGCTTGTTCTCGTATACATACCTACATACATACATACATACATACATACATACATACATACATACATACATACATACATACATACATACACACATACACACATGCATGCATGCATGCATACATACATGAATACATAGACACATATACATACCTACCTACCTACCTACCTACCTACATACATACATTCATTTATTCGTTCGTTCATTCATTCATTCATTCATGCAAACATGGACATACAGACATACATACATACATGACCCTGGGGAGCAATTGAGACCCCCCTTTTGGTGAAACGAAG